TCCTCCAGGGCCTCCATGAGATTTACGGTTTGCTGTGAAGTATCTCAACAACAATTTGATGCACTACCATGAAGTCTAATTCAGACATTTATGTTCCTTTCATGGTGGTTTGTAATAACTTTGTTGATCCTCTGACTTTTTATTTAAAGCCAATATCACATCAACATTCCCATTCGTCCAATGCTTTAGCTGTACTTTGTGTTAGCGCTAAGTAGCACATATTGGCTAGTTGCCTTCTTAATTGTCTCCATTCTCACTTTTACCAGATTTCTTTCATTTTGATGCAGGAATATATATCACTTCCTGATCTTCACACATCATCCTAATACATCACCCTGCGCTGAAAGAGAAGAGAGGGAGAAGGAGAGGGACAAGCACATATTCTCTGAGCGCATTGTGGAGAGGAATGCCATTGAATTTGGGTGTTTTTATACGCGCCAGCCTCTTTTGTGTGCAGGCTAAGGAAGTCCATTGTGCGGGCAGACACCCTGAGAAAAGAGGCGAGCTTGGAGCCGTTGTCTGCCGGTGCTTCTGCAGCGCTCGGGCACTAAAAAGATCCTGAATGAAGCTCTGCCATCGGAAGCAGCCGGCCCGAACCGAGAGACAATGCCACTGGGCAACTTTGAAGACCAGCAACAATTAAAAATGCAGCTTCACTATATTAATTATGCATTCATGCTTTTTGTCTTGGGTTCTTTTTTTGTATTTCTCTTGGGAGGGGAGAATGGGGGAGCTGTTGTGAGGTTTAAGATTCAACAGGTCTGAGGCAGAGGGAGAGATTACAGTGAAAAAACAAAACATGCAAATGCTTCTGCCATTGCTGCTGTTGGAAATTCATTAAAGGGGGAAAATGTGTGTGTGGTTGGGTTACAAACACTCACACACGGGAACAAATGCTGCTCCAAAAACAAGTTAAACAATAATGAAAACAAGCTCTTTTCACTTGAAATAAGTACAACAATCTGCCAATAGAACAAGTGAACATGTCCTTGGTTAGATTTCTTGAAAAAAGAAGGGAGATTTAGATAAATCTGATCTTGTAATTAGCTGGAGAACTCATTCTGAACTATATTTGACCAGAATCAGGAAATGTTGTGTTACAAAATAAGCCGCAAATGCTCAAAAGTTTCTGTTTTCTGATGTTAGTTGGTGATTTTCCAATAGATATGTAAAAAAATATATGTTTCATCGGAGAAACAACTCAAAATAAGATTTGTTGACTGAACATGCATTTTGTAAAAACAAGACCCGATATCTCACTGCAGTGTTACTTCTGAAGTTATTGTGTCTCATATCGGGTGTAGAGACATATTCTGACTAGAAATTAGACAAGATTGTTTAGTGCAGGAGAATGCTCAATAAGGAAAACACCCTGACTTAATAAAACCAAACTTTGCTTCAGTATAAAGACAATAAAATAGCATCAAATATAAAAGCAGATCAAGAGGGGTCGGCAAAACTCTCAGATTCATCTTGCAGAACATGTTGCTAGGAAACTCTCAGTTGCAGCTCGGAGTTGCACTTCTTTTTTTTAGGGCTTTTCTCCTCTCTCCTCCCTCGGTTGCAGGCAGAACACATAAAGCAGCTTTCTCAAAGCTTTGAGGTGAGTTTCTGCTGGCCGGCGGCACTGTCAGGTGGCTCTGTTGTGCTCGCAGTCGCAGGAAAACGGCTGCTTTTGGACCAGTGGGAAGGTTTATTCAGAAAAAGCCAACAATGGTTCTGGGAATTCATGCCTCGTTTACTACCAACTCTGTCGCACTGAGGACAGAAGAGCCTGGAATCACAGTCTCCTGGTCAAAAGACAAACTGCAAACGGTCCACATTTCAGGTTACTTAAAGGTCTCCCTATGCAAAATCCACTTCTTCATGTCTCTTTTACATCAACATGTGTCCCCTCTTCTCCATGTCTCTTCTACATCAACATGTGTCCCCTCTTCTTCATGTCTCTTCTACATCACCATGTGTCCCCTCTTCTTCATGTCTCTTCTACATCAACATGTGTCCCCTCTTCTTCATGTCTCTTCTACATCAACATGTGTCCCCTCTTCTTCATGTCTCTTCTACATCAACATGTGTCCCCTCTCTGGAAAGAGACTCTGAAAGTTTCAGGAACAAGAACAAAAAAGGGGCGGTTTTCACGGACTAAAGAGACAGACAAATGAAAAAATCTTAACTTTTATTTTCCCTCCGGGAGGGGTGCGGAGGAATTCCCTCTTTCTGCTTTAAACCAAATGTTCTTGGAGTTTACCTTCGAAGATCCTCCTCTAATCCCTACCTTAATTCCCCCCCCCCCCCCCCCCCCCCCCTCCCCCCCGCCCAAAAAAATGGAACCCAACGACTAACCGATTAACCAGATGCTGTTCTGTCTTTTTCGTAGCATACTGTACGGCTATTTCACCGGTTTTAGACTAGTTCGAGGTAAAGTCTGTTCAAAAAATATCTTTAACCTTAGTTTTTTCTCTNGGCAAATAATTGCAAGTCTCTTCAGTGCACATGTCACAAAACGAGATGCATTGTGGGACAGGTAGTTTATGGGCAACATGCCTCTGTAAAGTGGCATGTAACCGTATAATAAAAGTATTATATTCTTTGCAAGCTCTTGCGGGCCACATTAAATGAAGTCGCAGGCCGGATTTGGACCCCGGGCCTTGAGTTTGACACCCCTGGTGTAAAGGAAAGAATGAATGGGGCCATGTATCGTGAGATTTTGAGTGACAACCTCCTTCCATCAGCAAGGGCATTGAAGATGAAACGTGGCTGGGTCTTTCAGCATGACAATGATCCCAAACACACCGCCTGGGCAACAAAGGAGTGGCTTCGTAAGAAGCATTTCAAGGTCCTGGAGTGGCCTAGCCAGTCTCCAGATCTCAACCCCATAGAAAATGTTTGGAGGGAGTTGAAAGTCTGTGTTGCCCAGCGACAGCCCCAAAACATCACTGCTTTGGAGGAGATCTGCATGGAGGAATGGGCCAAAATACCAGCAACAGTGTGTGAAAACCTTGTGAAGACTTACAGAAAACGTTTGACCTCTGTCATTGCCAACAAAGGGTATATAACAAAGTATTGAGATGAACTTTTGTTATTGACCAAATACTTATTTTCCACCATACTTTGCAAATAAATTCTTTAAAAATCAGACAATGTGATTTTCTGGATTTTTTTTTTCTCATTTTGTCTCTCATAGTTGAGGTATACCTAGGATGAAAATTACAGGCCTCTCTCATCTTTTTAAGTGGGAGAACTTTCACAATTTGTGGCTGACTAAATACTTTTTTGCCCCACTGTATATGATTCTGTTTTCTTCAAGTTTGTATCTTCTTGGTTGAATGCACTTATTGTAAGTTGCTTTGGATAAAAGCGTCTGCTAAATGAAATGTAATGTAATGTAATATCAAACCACTTCTTCCCTCTGCAGTATGAACGTGTGTGTGTGTGTGTGTGTGTGTGTGTGTGTGTGTGTGTGTGTGTGTGTGTGTGTGTGTGTGTGTGTGTGTGTGTGTGTGTGTGTGTGTGATTTCTTATAATATCTCAGATTCTTTATTAGAAATATTCTTCTACGTTTTAATGCTAGCCTCTCTACATGCAACATGGGTTTTCCAAAGCTGTTGCTTGCTTTTGGCACACCTAAAGTAATGTTCTAAAATAGAGAAATCTAAAATAACCTGTTGAGCCTTTGTAATTCAACCCTGAAACATTCTGTCTTCTTCCAGACATCCATAAAGAAAGCATCCAATGATGTCCCTTTGACCAGCAATGCTGACATATTGCCTCCTTATATCTGAAGCCAACGTCACAGGGATAGCCTGATATCAAGTGACACACACACACACACACACACACACACACACACACACACACACACACCAGTGGAGTATAGCTGGTGTTGCTTATCTCCTAGTCACTTAATTTCTGTTTTCATAGTTTTTAATATACTGATTTCCGTTATCCATGTATGAATAGGCCTGTCAAGACTAAGTCATTATAAGAGTACAACATACATGAGAGGTTTCTACAAAATAAACACACACCTGAATGTGTTGCTGAGTGTGAGGCTGCTATCTGAATAGATCCTACAATCTAGTGCACATGTTCACACACACACACATTTACACAGCATTTGGAGGCTGGTAATTAGTTCGAAGCATAAAGGTGATAACAAGCGGCAGCCACAAGTTTGCAGTGGAAGTCAAAGCCCCACCTCTCCCCCCCCCCCCCCCCCAGATTCACCGACACACAGACTTGAATAAATGCAAGATTATATGATCATCTCCACGGCTAACACTCATGAACTTCACCTTTACTGACACTTTTTCTTTGCATCAGATAGTGTATATGTCCCCCCCACGTCCTCCGCCTACTGCACCTTTCCCTTTTTCTCCTGCATGTCTTCTCCACCCACACCTCCTCCTCTTCACATCCACACGATCTATGAGTCATCTGATCCAAAAGGTGAGATGCAGCATTCAGTAGATTATTTTCATCTTGACGTGCTACATGAGAGGCAATCTTCACTTTTTTCTTTTGTCCCCTTTCATTTCCTTCCCTGGCTTTCATCCATGCGTCACTCGGTGACAGTCTACAAGTTGAAAGCTTGTTGCTTGTGACAGATTTTGTGCAGTCTGAGGTCATGTTAGACGGCTCCCCCCTGAAAACACTTTATACGAGCGCCCATATGGTCGTCTGGAGTGTGTGGTTTCCATCTCTGCTTGGTGCTCATGATTGAATGGCAGCTTGATCAAATAAAGACTGTGTGTGGTGGCGATCCCCGTCATAACATCCTTTGTTTCCATGATAGGAAGTTACTCCTCAGTAATATTGTTTTGCCATATTGATAACACAATCATAAACTCATACTGGAAAACAGATTAGGGAGTTGAGTCATCAGAGACATATTGGTTTCAGTCTCCCTCCCTCTTTCTGTTCTTCTTCACCTATCATGCTCATCTTTCTCTACGACCTTCTTTTATCTCCCGACATGATTCCCTTTTCTCTCCCTTCAGGTTGTGGAAACAGCAGTATGAGTGGAGATATGTACAGTGCCGGTTACCGCTCCATCACCAACATAGACTACTCCTCTGTGTGCATCAGTACAATGGGTGCCAGGTACAGCCACTGCCCGGGAATGACCTGGCAACAGATGGACGTGCGCCAACTCTCCTTTCCTGAAGCGTCCTTTGATGTCATTCTTGAGAAGGCCACGCTGGACGCCATCATGGTGGAAGAGAAGTCACCTTGGGAGGTGTCTCCTGACACCGCCTGTTTCATTCACCAAGCACTCACAGAGGTACAATTCAAAACTGATGAGGGTTAAATGTTTCTTGAACTAAGATGAGACTAAGGTCAGAAATCCTTGCCAAAATGTATTGATTTTTGGCAAAACATACGCTGGGATTTTAAGCGGATGTGCAGTTGCGTTTCATATCCTGTTGCGTTCTAGGGAGGGGTCATGCATTTTGAAACACATTTTTTTTTAAGTTTGTCTCTTTTACATCTGCGCTTGCTTATATATTTGCGAAGAGGTTTGTGTGCCTTGCCCCCAGTTTCTTTTGGGAGATGTGTTTGAGTAGGGGAGCATCCTCAAACTCACAGAAAGACTATTTGGTTGAAAGAAAACCCTTTATTGACAATTCAGGTGTGATTATGTGCAGTTATTTTCCTTTTTGCTTTAACTGGCCGAAGAGCAGATCCTTCAAGTGAAGTCCAGTAGTGCACAGAGAATACGGATCTGAATTTTACTCAAAAAGCCTCCATATTGTGTGCGATGTCTGTGTGTTTGCGTACTGAGACACAGATGAAAAACTTCACCTTTCATAGCTAAATACTAAAGTCCAACCTCAAAATGTCATCAGTATGGTAATGAAATAACAACTCTTCAGCTGCAGCAGTCTTTCAATGGGGTTCAATGCTGTGAGGGGTACCTTTGAGAGTTCACTTTGTCCCTTAATTGACATGTGCACTTGGATTAAGCACAAAGTACTATATATTTGGGTTTTCCTCAATAAATTGGAAGCTAATGAAACGTACAAGACTTTGTTTCCAACTTCTATACTAAACGAGTTGGAAGATGTTTTTATTCTAGAAGACTGGCCTTTGTCTGAAGTGAAGCACAAAACAAAACTCTTCTGGTCAGTATCATTCAAGCTACTGGAGTCTTTGCATGCCTGCGATGATTTGAATGCACTGCTTCAGTGAGCGTAATCTCCGAATGACTTATCTGACAGTGGAATCAGTCATAGTGGCACTTTACATTTCCACTCCATCTCCACAGCCCTCAGTTGACTTCCATGACGTGGAGTGCTATTCAGCGGCTGGCTGCAGCGCTAACCACCACTGTGTCAATGTGACAATGACAATGTTTTGGCCATTAGCCATGCTTGACCTTGACTCCGCAAGACAAGAGAACGCTGCTATCAAACTAGAGTAGGTGACTCCCGAGCTCTGAATTGAAAATAATTACTCATTATGCACTCACTGCCACATGCAGAGCACCTGCTAAATGGGTTGTTATTCAAAGTTGAGTTTGTTATTACAGCTATAGTTTACGCTCAATACACAGATGGAATATGTAATTACAGTAAATGCAACGGTGTGAAAGGTCAGGTTGTGTGAATCATTTGAATGAAAGCAGGCAGAGGACTAAGTACAACTAATGTTAATGCACATCTGAACTGATGTTTTCAAAGAACACATCAATTATAAATATTATGGAGCTTTTCCGGTGAATAATCCAATGAAAATGTAGCAATCAGTTGGCTTCCACAATGTGTTATGCTGATGAAAAACAGTCTATATATTTATTATAAAGTCAACTGACAATTATTACAATTTGGAAAAGGACTACTAGTTATCTATCGCCATAAAGATGCAGCTTTACAAAAGTTTTATAAGGAAGATCACTCATGAACAAGTCTGTCAGGCCCAAAAAATACTCATAGTGAGTTTTAGTGAGGAAACGCATACTAAAAAAGCATTAATGCGGCATAAGCACACGAGCAAAATGTACTTGTGTGGTGACGCAAAAGGGTGAAAAAAAGGTGTCGGCAGTGTTAGCATAAACTGCAGGAGCTAGCAACGACTGCATTGCACGTAATTAGTCGAACTTTATTGTTATTTTATCGCATTTGACACTAGTACTCTACTGTTAGCAGTGTCCTTCCTTCGTTGCTGATTGTTTTGTTTTCAACATTCAATTCTAACTGTCTTAAGCTGGGAGTAGAAATCGGTATTCCCTGAATGTAGAGGCTTTCAATCCTTAAAGTGGCTGAATATTCCAGAATGTTGCTATTTTTATTATTTGTAGAGTGTTGCAGCCCATAATAAGTGCATAGTTTTTTAAATGGTGACAATCTGAATTGACAAAACACTGTTTTGTCACTGGATAAAATAGATGTGTCTTTCAAATAAAGGGATTGGCCTGATAAATTGCTTGCCATATATAACAGTAATTCCTGGGAGAAGATTAGGCCTGAGAAATGTTTTCAGACGGAAGAATCTAAAGGCTATTCTCACCCTGACTTAATGCTGTGAGTTTAACCAGGGACAAGCTTGACTCAAGGAGTAAACAAAAGCAAATACTGTGCTGTATATGTGCCAATTTGTAAAGGACAGACAATAGCCTCACACGCTCACTCAGTAGTGCTGGGTGTTTTCCTCCAACAGAAGGACATATTAAAGGAGGATCAGTGAGTGAGTTTGGGGGGCAGATGGGAGGATTTGACTTCCCTTCAAAGGAAGTGAAGCTGAAGTCACGAAGCAGCCCTATTTGAAAGCCATTACACTTTAAGATTCAAGTTCCTTCTCTGTCATCACAGCTCTCACCATCTCTTCTTCTCACTCCCGCCTCTCCCTCTGTTTTACCCTCATTTCCACTTTGGTTTCTATCACCTGCTCTATGCTCAGGGCTGTGAGGAGATGGTGATGTGTGATTGTGTTCATGTTCTCTTTCTGCTGCACTCTGAGTGTGTGTGTGTGTGTGTGTGTGTGTGTGTGATCATCACAGAGAAGTCGATAGCTCTCTGCGGTTGTCTATTTTTGCTCCCTCACTTAGTCGTATGGGTACAGCAGTCACGATTCGAGTTAATGTTTTGCAGCAATGTGGGTTCAGAGCCTGCTTTGAAAAAAAAAGAATACTTTCATAATGATTGCAGATTGCGAGGCGTGATAAATAAAAGCAAGAAAAACTGCCCGAGTGATGAAAAACGGAAGAGATCCCTGAAGAATATGTTGCTGAATTCACACAAGGAAGAGGGCATTGAAGGGCGAAGGAGAAAGAGTAGAGGTAGGAGAGAAGGGAAACAAGGATACAAAGTAAAAGAATGGGAAAAAGGTGACAAAAACCAGGACTGACAGAAAGCTAATGAGCAGAGCACCAGCGTGAGACTGATGGGAAGAAGGTAGCAAAGGAGAGGAAAGAAGAGAGAGGGGAGGGAAAAGAGTGCTCTAACGTATAAAAAGAAAGAAATACAGGTGACAATAAAACAATTGCTACCACTTCACATCCACATATCTTATTTCCCAGCCTGTTAACAAACCATGTATGTTGCGGTTTGTTAAGATGTTAAGGCGTAGAGCAAACATCCATTGAGTGAATGCAGCACACGGTCATCACTGGAGCCTATCAAGGACACACGCTGTAAATAGAAGCATGCTACAATCACTGTTTTGTTTTTGTAAAATCTCACAACAGCGGCCGTCGTGCACTGAGGTGTGACATTTATTTCACAGTCTGACATGCTCTGTGAATGACTTTTACCGTTGCTATGGGAACTCTTTCGTTAGTTATCATCTCAGATTAACACTTTTAATTGCCAACCATAGTCCTGTTTAAAGAGGTAAAGATATGGGCTCAATCAAAGGGAACATGTTAGTAGAGATTTGGCTTTGCGAGGCGGTCAAAGGGCAGACTGAAGGACTGTCCCTGGTGTCTGATTATTATTTTTGGCTCAAGGTCACTGAGGTAGAGACGGTTGAAAATACAAGGTCTAAAATATAAGTTTACAATTGGGTGACTCTGCAATTTCAGGTAATTAGTGAGAGAATGTGTGTGGTGTGCAACAGATGAGGTAAAACTGTAAGACTTTGTGAAGTTTTTGGAGTTTTGTAACTAATATCACATTTTCTTGTTTTGTTTCGGACGCTGTTATTGATGTTCGATGGGTTTAATTGGCCCAAAATGGTCAGTTTGGTGGCAGGAAATGTGAATCCTACACTTCAAAATACTGTGGCCTGCTCTGATGGATCAATTCAGACTCATTTGTCCTGACCCCATTTCTGCTGCTGGTAAAAGTCCGCCAACCAAAGTGCGTGGTGGACATAAACCTTATTACACCTGCTATTTGTTATAGAAGTAAAATGACCAACTTCTAACATTAATGATGACTGAGTTTGTTTGAGTGGCATCTGTGTTTTTATACGTAGAGAAGTCTATTGATATATAAAAAGAAAAATATGGCCTTTTTTATATTACTACATGTAGGAATTCATACCTACATCCGGCAATTTTCAAATAAAGTATGACTTTTTGGGCCAATTTCTGCGTAATGCAAAATCCCTAGTGACCAGTTTCAAAACAATGGAATAGAATTAGGCGGAGAACCACCTGATGGTATTACATTTTAAACATTCAAAGAAAGGTGTCATCCAAGAGCCTAGCATTTTCCCTGCTTTTTTAGGTTCTTCAGTTCAAAAAGAAAAAAATGCGTGAGAATGTATTTAATATTTAGTGATTAAATCCACATGGTTGACTTACCCTTTCATTTGTATATGACATATGTGGGGGAAACTTCTGTGTAGCAATGCAGTGGGAGTCACCGACTCATGAAGGAGACACAGGATGAGCAGGAGCTTTGATGTCAAACACTGATGGTTTATTTAGGAGCTTCGGCTGGAGAATTCACAAAACAAATCACAGCAGTCACGGTCTGACTGCACGGGAGAGTTGCCACATCAATTCTGGAGCGCCACTCTCTCGTTAGACCTTTTAACTGGTTTCACAGAGAGTAATCAACATATTTGAGAAGATAGCCTAAACAGCTAGGAACACTGAGTTACTTGCATCTTACACTTATGGCCTTGAGTCCACAAACACCAAGAAGGAAGTGTCCCAGTGCTCCCACAACAATAAACCATCTGTGGCCGAGAGTTGCCCGGTCATATTAATGGGAACAACAACATTATGGCTGAAGCAGCCCATTTCCTTAAAGGAGATAACAGAGGTCAGGGTTGGTCATACGTCAAAGGGCAAAAAGGTCAGATATCTAGGAGTCCAGGAGAATTATTCCCTAACAGTTATTATTGAAAAAGTAATGCAGTACTAGTTTAAAAATACATACAGCATGAAGACCTATGTTCACTCTGTTGAGTTGTGCACTGACACGATCATAAATGTTTTCAACAAAACCCAGACAAATCTGTCAACAACAACAACAACAACAAGTCTAGAAAAAGGTATCCGGCAATTGTCTCAATAAGTAAAGTCCTTGAGTGAAGTTGTACTTTTTACTTTATAGTTGTGGATTCATATAGTACACAAAAAGTAATCTGTACTATAAAAAATGCATATTCATTTACATTATAAGTACCAGAGGGGGGAGAAGTACTCAGATCTTGTACTTGAGTAAAAGTAGAAGTATTCAGATCTTGTACTTGGGTAAAAGTAGAAGTACTCAGATCTTGTACAGTAAAAGAGAAGTACTCA